TTTCCTCACAAAATCCTTCATAGCATACTCGTTTTTAATCCAAATTCAACCAAATCAAAGTCAAGACGTGCGTCAAGACGATCCCGAAGAGCCGAGCCACAAGGGCCCGTAACACTCGGTCTGAAACGACACGTAGCTGAGCCACAAGGGTCCGGCCACTGCACAACATCTCATCAGAACAATACTCAGGGACTTGGGGCGGGACTCTTCATAGTCTGCCCCTATAGACACGTTACTACGCCGGGACTAAACTACGGCCCTCTTCTAGGGCCGTGCCCTAGTCCCGTGGTAGCATGGCTCTAGCCGGCGGCCCTTCTGATGGGCCGCGGCTAGGGCCGCCACTCTGGTCTGGTGCACACTGTGTTGTGCACCAGATAGCTTTTCACCTGCAAAAACTTATCCAAACATGTCCAAAACAATCTCCACAACTCATAAACACATACCAAAGCATTTCTAAGCATAAACACATCAAAAGCTCATAATTTCTACTCATTCCTACTCAAAACTAGGCTTCACAGAGCCAAATCTAAAGAGGAATCCATCGGGTTATACCTCTTGTAGTATAGATTTCTTGCTTGGATCTCTTCTTCCTCTTGGTCTAGCTTGAGCCTCCTTCACCACCTACACTTCCCAACACACCTTCTATCCTTAGCCTATATTCTTAAAGACTAAAGAAAACTAGAAGAGAAATGATGCTAGAAAGGAGGATGAACAAGCTTACTAGGTTGAAAGTTTTCTCCTTGGATGTTGGCAGAAAAATGTGAGGAAGAGGCAATGAAAATGAGAGCAGGAAAATGTGATGGAATGAAGGGTTTATATAGGGTTCAAAACCCTTGGATGATTCAAAATGATTGGTTGAGGGCAAAGGGGTAATTTCCCAAAGCTAAAAGATGACTTTATAAGGGATTTTTGGATGTCTTATGGTCCACCATGTATCATGAACCATAGGCTAGGAATGATATTTCTTTATTACTTTGGGTGGAAAGTGAATTTTCCCAAAAACTATATGGATGAACACTTGTTCAAAATTCCCTTTTTAATTCTCCCGGTCTCACTCGGGTAAAATTCTCGATTTAAATCTTGGTACGCGAAGTACCCGAAAACTTTGGAATTTTCGAATGAAATTCATATCTTCGGTGTCGACTTAATTTTAAAAATTGAACAAAATTATTTTATTCATACACCTATTGATCGCAAAAATTTTAATAGGATGAAAAAGCTACTTTGGAATTTCTTAATATTGGATTTATAAAAATAAAATTTTAGGTTGATACAAATAATAATACAATATAGCCAACAAAATGCATATATATACCATCAAGTCACTCAAGAACCAATTGATATCAAGTGACAAGGATTCATGAAGGAATCACAATTGAAACGGAGGCCAAAGAGTTCACAAAATACCAAGAAAGACTTGTAATGCACAAAGATAAAACAATAATGCACTGGAAGTCAAGAAGTGCATTCTGGAGAATCAACTCTCAGGACCTAACGGGCCTTCACCACGGGGATCGAATACCCGCCGGGCATTACCGCATAAAGGAGACGGGTGTGTGTGACGGGCAAAGGATTCCCGCCACATACCCCTACAAGACACCTTACGGGTGTCTCAAACGGGTATCTCATGCCCGCGATACATGCCCGCAAGGACAAAAACAAAGCAGAAACAATACGAAGCAAAGGCAATTGAGCCAAAACAACAATGACGGTACTCCATCAAATCTAAGGCCAAAACTCAACAAGAAATCCATACTAACAACACTAGAATGACAATAAATCAAAGGGAATCAAAGATACACATAATAGCTCAAGAATAACACCAACAATACACAAGAACAAGGCTCACATCAAGAAATAATACCAAGGATATACTCAGGATTTCCAAGAACATTAAGAACATTTATATAAGTTGGAAATAGGTTTTGATGGACAGGGAGTTTACCTTTTAAGCTTAGCAATTCAAAAGCAACCTCAAAGCATCATCCTAGCAACTCATCTCTACCTTGATCAACTAAGAAACCCAAACCTCAAAAGAGAAGAATGAATGAATGCAATAAAGATGGTAGAACAAGGAGAGAAAATGCAAAGGAAAGATGGTTCTTACCAAATCTTAGCTTGAAGATGCATAAAAGAGTAGTCTTGCTTTGATTCTTGAAAATGAAATGAAGACCAATCTTTGAATGATGAAGGGGATGAAAATGGCGTGAATGTGAGATGAGAGTGGAGTGGGGAGAAAGACAATCTCTAGGATATTTTATGTAGGAATGACTAGGATAAGATGATAGATATATGGAATGAATGTATTAGGTTAGGAAGATATGTAGATGGGAAATATATGGTTCATGGGCTATTATATTATATAAGAATATAAGGTTTTATTTTAGGGAAATTGGGCCAACAAAACCAATTAAATATAACTACAAAGAATAGGCTAGGGATTTATTTATTGTGAAGGAAATTGGGCTTTTAAATAAATACATATAAACTAGGAATTATTCATTTGAAGAATGTGGGCAACTAGAAATAATAAATCCCTTACAAGAATAGTTACGTGATATAATTATCCGAATGAGAAATACGGGGTGTCACAACTACCATTTAATAGAGCCTTTAGTTTCTTCAAAATTGATCCTGAGCCATTTTGGTTTGTAAGGCTCAAAATATTTTTGCAAGACATATAAGTAAGACTCATAATGTTCAGTTCGTTTTGAGGTGGACCTTGAGATTATTTGGGAAGTAATGGTGTATGTTTAAGATTCCAAATTTATGGACTTAGATTTTTTGGTTTGTTGTCTATGTTGTTGGAATAATGCTTCTGTGACTAAGCTATCTTTTGGTTATTTTGATGAGTGGGAGTGGCAGACATGTCAAATCCAAGATCTTAGCCATTGGAGATAGTGTTAAAGTTATAAACTAGTCATAGAATATACTTAGCATTATGCTTACATTAAGATATTCATACTTAAAGGCATGCTTTTAAAATAAAGATTTTAGGGATCATACAGTATGCATATTTTTTTTTTATGAAAATTTGGCTGATTTCTTTTTCAGTTGCGCATATACATTTTTTTTTTTAGAAACATTCATTAAGGGACTAAGAATAAACGAAGGGTTTGTTCATAAAGAACCTAAGTTATGGAATATAAATGCATGTGATCATAGAAGATATTACTCTCTTGAGTAGATGACATATTCTATGGTTCGTGTGTTTTGTTCTTTAATGAACGTTGGGCCAGTGCTTACACTAAGTGGGAGAATGTAAGTATCTCCTCACATATAATATAATATAATATATTGTATATTAAGTGGATGTTGTGCAAGTAAATGATTAAGTCAATAAGTAATTTAGTCAGTTAGGTAATATATGATATTCAGTTTGACTTTAACTGAATATCTGCCTATAATGATGGCACATAGGCTTTTGGGCAATACATGCAGTCCTTCCACAACCATGGTATTCAGCATACACACACCATCTAGTATTCAGGAGAGAAGTGGTAGACAAAACACTAACGTTATCCTACCGGTTTACCATCCCAACAGACAATTCCAACAGCTATGGAGAAAGATATTCAGACGATCCTAAAGCTTCCGCTGTTACAAGGTCAGGTTCCTCGTGATTTAAGTTTCCTTCCGTTTATGTTAGTTTATAATAATATCTAACATTTTTACCATTTTGAGACTCATGATTTATAACAAAAGTTCTAGTAATATAATCATTAAAGACTTTTTTAAATAACTAATCGATGTGCACTATCTCAAGTCTAACTTTCTTTTTTTTTATTGGGCCAAAAGAGTTACAATATTCTTGGCGGCGGAGTCAGAATCTCATTTGTAATTTTATAAAGAGTAAACCAAATATAATTCCCCTCCTATTTTGAACTCGAATCCACCCCTTATCTTTTTAGGTAGTGGTGCATTTGCCAATTCATAGGCACCCAATGTATGGAAGCCACATTAGGGGAAAAGTGGGAGGGGAAATTTAGATGGGATAAGAAGTAATTTCCTTTTAGAAATCATTTTAAGGGTGTGCTTGGAAACCCGGAAAATGATTTTTAGAAATCATTTTCCGAGTTTTCAGTGTTTGGCAAGACTTGGAAAATTAAAGTCGTGGAAAATCAATTCTGATCAAAGGGGAAAATTACCTTGTTTTTCCAGAAAACAACTTCTCATTTTTTTTAAAAGGGAAAGTCATTTTCCAGGCCTCTTTTCTTCGTTTCTTTCGGACGTTCTTCCTCAGCCATATTCCCGGACGTTCTTCTGTGACCTCAGCTTTCCGCGATGTTCTTCCTCGTCGACAATCCAGTCAACTTTGCAGACACAATCGACGACCGATAACGGCAGAACCGTCGCCGATCGCCTTCTACCAAAGAAAGCAACTAGTTGGTCACCTTTTCCAGCGAAAACCGACCAACTGGTCACTTTCCATTGGAGAAGGCGACCAACCGGTCACGTTCCATCTCTGGTAGAAGGCGACCGTCGATGGTTCGGTCGTCGCGGGTCGCCAATTTTGTCTTTGGAGTTGACCGGATAATGTTTAGGGTATTTGATTTTTTTTTTTTTTTGCTCATTTTCCAGAAAATGAACCAAACATACAAAGACACTTTTCTGGAATGCAACCAAACACTAGAAATGAATTTTTTTTTTTTTTTTTTGGAAAATAACTCATTTTCTAGAAAACATTTTTCCATAAGTTATCATTTTCCAAAAGTTATTTTCCTGGTTTCCAAACACACTAAGATTAAATGTGATGACCTAACTTGAGTGGTTGGCACGTTAAAAATTGATTATATAAATGGCGAGTTTGGTCCCTGAGTTGTAATAGTAGTAACGACTCAATCCCTGAGTTATGACCGTATCCATTTTTAGTCCCTCGGTTATGAGCGAAGTGGCGCATTTGATCCCCGACCGTTAAAACTGACGGAAAAATTAAAAAATATTTAAAATTTTAGGGTTAAAGTAGGAAATTCACATTTTATTCACTTTCTTATATTGAAATCACTTTTGCAACATTATTTTCAACTTCCTAACATTCTATTTCAAGGTTCTTCAATTTCAAAAGTAATTCAATAATTTTTGTATGACTTGTTAGTAACTTGAGTCTCATATAAGGAACCTGTGACTTAGTACCAAGGCCTTTGCACAGGGCCCCAATTTTTTGGGGCCCCATAGTTTTAAAAAAAAATGTATATGTACACGCAGTATATAGGCTAATAGGCATTGCCGCCGTAATACACAACTCCTTTGGCGCACCGCGCAAGTGTTGTAGTGCGCATCCTTATGTCCCTATCACCCCTAATCCCTAATGGCATTATGTATACAATATATTACATATTAGCTTGAGTAAAATCGCTGCTTGTTGCGGGAAGGCGATAGGGATAAAAATGAGTAAGAGATTAAGTAAATAGATGTGTTAAAATTCTATACCTTAATGTTTCTAATTTTTTAATTCCTATTTCAGTGTTTTTTATTTCGTGGGCTATTTGGTTTAATTGTTGGGTCACTTCTTTTATTTCTGTTTCTATCTTTATAATTGTGTTGTTGGCATCTTTTACTTCTGAAGTAATTTCATGTTTCATTTTATGATATTTTTCTTGAAAATTATTGTGAATTTCTTTAAGAATTTCATAAGTCCTTTTTATTTCTACTAAAGCTTCTTTGTTTACTTGTATTCCTTTATCAAGTACTTTAATAATTTTTCCAGCTGTGAATTTATCCTTACTACTCATAATTTTAATCTGGGTATTCGAAATTTTTAAATCTTTGTAAGTTTTTAAATTTTTTTGTAAGACTTGTAAATATTTCTCTTCTTTTTTCTACTGCTCTCTTTTCAAGTTCTAATATCTTTTTATCTATTCTATCTATATTATTTATAGATTGTTTGCATTTATCATAGTGGTAATTTTTTCCCATCGGATTTTCACATGTTATATATTTGACTCTATGATAATTACCTATTTTATACCAATCCCTTTGTTCTTGTCTTAACTTATTTTTATTATTAATAAATTTATCCCACTGTTTGAAATTTTCAGAATTATTACTAGTTGAAGCTTCTTTGTTATATTCCATTTTAATATTTTCCAAGATCTTTTAAACCTTAAAAAAGGTGGATAAGTGATTATTTTTATTTAATACTTTCAAGAAATTTATAAGGCAGACAATATGAACAAACATTATGTTACAAGCAGAAGTAATCTTCATCATAGAGATCATTTTTCATTGAATTAAAACTTCTATAACCTCCCATCAATTTCTAAACAACATACCCCTTCAGATATTACTCTTAAAAAATTATCAAACAATGTTAGCTTAACTCATACCTTGTGCAGACTTATCAGGTCACCGGATACTCAACCCTTCCTGCCCTTCTGTTCCCTTTACTGTTCACAGAATACCACGGGAGATAGGCTAGAAGCTGGGAGTCCTCAACAGATCTTCCTAATATTTCTACACAATATATGGAGTGTGGCTAACAGATGTTTAATAATTTTTCTAGAGCTTTTCTCTTCTTTGGGTAATATGTTTATACTTTTGATAGTTGGTTATAGAAGAAAGAAAGTTTAGAAAGCCATGAAAAGAAACAAGGATTTTCTGAAGAAAAGAACTCAACTGATGACTTCTCTGATCTCCAACTTTTCTGATCCTTTTATTAAACAAAGAGGCTCCTTATATAGAAAACCTCGGTAGGAAACTTACAAATATTTTACAACTCCTAAGTGATAACTCTTACAAGAAAAGTCTTCAAGCTAGGTACAATAACATAACTACTACATCAAGAGTTTTCAAACTAGGTACACCCTAGTACAATAATAAGATAACTACTACATGTAAATATTTCAAACTAGGTACACACTAGTACAATAATAAGATAACTACTAAGGTGTCTTTATCTCTTTCTCCTTACATTTTGTCTTCTAGCATTTTTGTCTTCTTTCTTCTTTGCTGATAAGGCATTTCTTCATGATCTTTATTTGATAAAATATTGCAACTTGATTTTGGCTGATCATTTTTTCTTCTCTTGAGATTCCTTCCTTTAATACTTGCTGATATTGAGTTTCCACCAGTAATAACTTGGATAATACAGATTTAATATTTCTGATATTATTTTGCTGATACGTCCCTTGGACCAGAAAATTCTTGATAATACGCCGCTTGGGCCAGAAAACCATAATACTTTGAACCGTAATACGCCACTTGGGCCGGAGAACCATGATAATATTTTGATAATAATTTGTTAGTACGCCCGCTGGGCTGAGAGCCGTTGGCTTACTGTAGTTTTTTAGGCTACATTGGGCCAGTTGATAATAATACTTGATAATACACCCGATATTACATCAGGTAAGATAATACATCCTCAGCTCCTTCAGAAGGGATCTTCAGAGCTCGGACCTGCCTTGATATTATTTTGTTTTTTCCTCTGCTCGATGACAGTTGTATAGAACTCAATAGTAGCTGGATCATGCTGATGTTTTAAGTTTATTAATTTATTATGCATTTCTAATAGGTCAGTTGGATCACTGGTTATCATGTCAAAATTATTATAATATAAGGTTATTATTTCTTCCACTTCTCCTCCTTTAGTATGTCCTATTACACTGGTTCTTTTATGTCTTAACATATCTTCAATTCTTGATTTTAGAGTTAATATTCCCCATGCCCTTTTTTGACTCATCCATTCCTGAAAATTTTCTAAGGTGCAAGGGATTTTCATATTTAGACTAGTATTATCTCCTTCTATGGTAGTATTTCTTCTTATTTTAAATAATTGGCATATTACTATGGGTTTTCCTAAGAAGTCGGTAGATGCATCAAAAAATTGTATTCCAAATGTTCCACTTCCATATGTTTCCATCATTTTCAAAAGTGAATCCCCTATTATAGTTGGTAATTTGCTAATATTATACATTTCTTCATTTACTATTATTTTATCTATAAATCCATAAGTAAATAGTTTATATACTGCTGTAGGGTTTGCATCTTCAGTGCATAAAAACCTAGGATATTTTGTTAACTTTCCTACTCTTAATATAGTATCATTAGACTTATATTCATAAAATTTATGAACAAATTGCACTTTTGGTCCTGTGACTATTAGGGTACTGACAATTTGAGTACGTGACTTTCAAAACTCTCAATTTAAACCTTTAACTACGCAATTATTAGCAGATTTGGTCCTGCCGGCCAATTTTGGCCGAAAAAATGTAATTCTTTTAAAATTATTTATTTATAAGGGCAAAATGGTCATTTAACGTCATTTCTTCTTCTTCTTGCGTCTGCTCCGTCTCCCAACTCTCCTCCTTCTTCTCCGCCGCTGGTTCCAGCTTTGTTCGTGATCGGAGACTCCGGCTTTGTTCCGGCGTGGAGGCAGGCCTGTTACAAGCCCCTTGTCGCTGATTGTTACATTAAAGGAGCAGAAGCAAAAGATACATTGATACATACAAGCTGCGGCAACCCTTATGGACCAGAAACTGGGGAACATAGTAAGAGCAGAATGTTCTCACAGAGTTTACATCATGTGTTGATATAAGACATATGATAAATTCGACTTCAACAACAATAATCCTCCTGTCTTTTATCCAGAGAGTTGAAGAAGATATAACAAGATAATATATATATATCAACACACACTGATCCAACCCATCATGATTATCATCAGAATTATAATCTCAGAAGTAAATTAAAATTTTTAAAAAAGTGAATTCTCTTCAAACAACAGACTCATAACCTGACCCTTTTATCATCGTAGTTTAATTTTAGTTCTAAAGGATGATTTGGGATTTTCTTGTTTTTTTTTTTTTTTTTTTTTTTTTTTTTTTTTTGTCACCATCCTTTTTCCCGGCAATAAAAAAAGGAAAATAAAAAATCAAGTAAATACTACACAATCAATTTGGCTTCCATTGATGATAAGGAAGCCAAGATGAGCCGCCGGCACCGCCGCTGCCGCTGCCGTCCGTCAGAGACATAGAGCTGTGCAGTGAAGATCGTTGGCTTCGGCATCGACGCTGTCTATCGGCGACGGCATGTTGAGGTCGAAAGGGAGCGGCTATCTGAAAGAGGAGGAGACGAAGTTTTCGTAGTCCCCGTCTTCGACGACGGAGGAAGATGAATCGCAGTCGCTGTGGCAATCATCGGGAACAACCGGCGGCGACCGGGGATGGTGGCGAGAAGGGATCGCCGGCGGCGTTGTCGTCTGTGGCCAGGGCGGCCTGGGCCCACTAAAGGACTCCTTTAAGCTCCTGTTACAGCGGGAGATGGGAGCAAGCAGTGGTGGGAATGGAAACCGAAACAGAGGAAGAGGTAGGTGCTGAAGCCTTGCTGCGTTCCGCGTGGCAAAGCTGGCGGAGCTTGGTGGGGACGTACCAGATGGAGAGGCGGGGGTGGGCATTGAAGATGGCATCGACATCCCAAGTTTGGAGGGCAGCAATGGCGACAAGGGGCTTGTAACAGGCCTGCCTCCACGCCAGAACAAAGCTGGAGTCTCTGATCACGAACGAAGCTGGAACCAGCGGCGGAGAAGAAGGAGGAGAGTTGGGAGACGAAGCAGACGCAAGAAGAAGAAGAAGAAATGACGTTAAATGACCATTTTGCCCTTATAAATAAATAATTTTAAAAGAATTATATTTTCCGGCCAAAATTGGCCGGCAATTTGGCCGGCAGGACCAAATCTACTAATAATTGCGTAGTTAAAGGTTTAAATTGAGAGTTTTGAAAGTCACGTACTCAAATTGTCAGTACCCTAATAGTCACAGGACCAAAAGTGCAATTTGTTCTAAAATTTATTTATTACATCATAAGCTACTTAATTTTGTCTGCTATAGTAAAAGGGATTTTTGTAGTGGTGGATGATTCTGATTGGTTAATTAATTTTGATGAAAAGGTTTTTAAGGGTTCTAATACAGTTTTTACAGGTGAGTTAATAACATGTTCTTCCTTATGTTCTTTTAATATTTTAATAAGTTCTCCACATTCTGCTAAAGTTTTTAAGATTTGTTCATGTTTTTCAGTGATTTCTGCTATAGCTTTCTTCATTTTTTCATTGAAACTTTTACTACTTGTCATTTTTGTACCTGCTCAAAAAATCAGCTAAAACATTTTTAGTTCCAGATATAGGTTTAATAGTGAAATCATAATAACAAAAGAAAGATTGCCAATATCTTCTTCTATTTAATTCTGGCAAAGGATCTATTTTATTCATAATAAAGGCTCTTACTTGAGTATTATCTGTTCTTACTACAAATTTTACTGGTAGTAAATGATAATGAAATCTTTTTATTCCTAATTTTACTGCTAATACCTCTTTCTCATTTATATGATAATTTTGTTCATTAGGTTTCCATGTTCCTGATCCATATCCACATATTAAAGATTTTTCTTTGTCTATATCTTCTTTAGTATAAGCTACTAATACTGCTCCCCATCCTATGTCACTAGCATCTGTATATAATTCTAATTGATCATCTTTTTCTGGTAATCTTAATTTTGGTAAAGATTCTACTTTTTCTTTTATTGTTTTAATAGCATTAGTATGTTCTTCTTTCCAGTCAAATATATTAGATTTTTTAATTAAACTTTGTAAGGGTTTTCTAAGTGTTGGTAAATCTTTAATATAGTCTGATGCATAATTTACTATTCCTAAGAATTGTTGTACTTCTTTTTTATTATCTAATTTTTCTTTAAAATCTTTTATTTTTGTTGTGTTCTTGTAGTTGTAATCCTTCTTCTGAAATTATATATCCTAAATATTCAATTTTATTTTTAAATATTTCAGATTTCTTTTCAGATAATAAGATTCCATGTTTTCTAACAGTTTTAATAAATTCATTCAAATGTTCTACATGATCTTTTAGAGTATTACTATATATATTAAAATATCGTCTACATATACTATGCAAAATTCATTTAAATTTCTAAAAACTTGATCCATCCTTCTTTGATATATTTGTGGTGCATTTTTTAATCCAAAAGGTAATACTTTCCATTCATATTGTCTTTGAGGGGCACTAAAGGTTGTGCTTCTTTAGTAAGTTTTATTTGCCAAAATCCACTTTTACAGTCAAATTTACTAAACCATTTCTTACTAGCTATTCTGTTTATTAAATTTCTTTTATATGGTAAAAAATATCCATCAAATATTATTTTCTTGTTTAACTCCCTATAATCAATTACCATTCTAGCTTTTCCTCTTTTTTGCTCACTATGTTTTCTTACTAGGAAGGCTGAGCTACTGTGTGGACTAATACTTTCTTTTATTATTCCTAATTCTAATAATTCTTTTATTTGTATTTCAAATTCTTTTTGATCAGGACTATATCTTATAGGTTTACTTCTTCTAATATCATTTGGATTTATTAATTTTATATCAGCATATATCTTTTCTTTATCCCATAAAGTGATAGGATTTTCTCCAAAATTTATTTTTAATAATTCTAAATATTTTTGTTTTAATTGTTCTAAATTATTATTTCTGTCTATTTTAATGTTATATATTTTTAGGAAATGTATTGGTAAAATTCTTTTTAATATTACCCATTTGTTACATGGTGTTAATAGGCTTAATGTCTCGCTATTTATTACTTGTGTTTTGAAAAAGTCTAAAAAATTATTTCCTAATAATAAAGGGTGTTTCATATTATTTTCTTGGTATACTATTGGTATTTTAAATATTAATTTATCTAATATAATTTTTACATCTTCAGCTATTACATCTAACTCTTTATTATGTTCATTAAATCCTGAGACTTTTATTCTATGTCTGTTTGATTTTTTCCATCGGTATGGTGCTATTACTTCTTTTTTAGCTAAACATATATCTGCTCCGCTATCTATAAATATTTTTTGTATTGCCATTTTATTAGGTTTATATTCTACATAGGTTTCTATACAAACTGCTACCATATTTTATCCTTATATAATAAATGATAATAATAAATTTCCATAATTTTATCTTTTAAATCTTCTCCTAATATTTCTTCTAACAAATTTTCTACTCTTTTTAAGGTTATCATTTGTTCTATGAAGTTTCTTTCAATATTTTTTTATGAATTTTATCTGCATTAATACTAACCATCCTTTTTCCATTATTCTGAACTTTCTTCTTCACTACTTTCATTATTACTAAGTTCATTAATATTTTCTTCTTCTGGTTCTGTTTCACTAATATAAAATATTTCATATTCATACCATTGGTCATTTTCTTCTTGTATTTGCTCTAAGTTCATGATAAATTCAGTAGTATTAAGATATTTTACTCCTTTTTGTTTTAGTTTAGGGCATTTATTTGCATAATGTCATTTTTCATTACAATTCCAACATCTACATTCGTAAGGTTTTTTATTTTCTCCTTCTAATGGTCTCATATTCTTTCTTCTTTTTCTAAATTTTCTCTTATTTCTAAATCTTCTCCTATTTTCAGGGGTATTTCTATATTTTCTAAATTTTTTCCTTTTATATCTCTTATAATATGGTTTATAATATGACTTGTAGTAAGATTCATTGTTTCTGTTTTTCCTATATTTCTTATATTTTTTAGAGTATTTTCTTTTCCTTCTTTTGTCTTTATAGTCTTTGTCACATCCAAATATTAGTCTTTTCTCTGTAAATCCACATATTTCTCTTAATCCTTTTCTCTTATCTTTTTTAATCTTTTGTTGTATTCTATATTCTTCACATTTTCTCATCAAATATGATCTTAATACTCTAATTCTTTCTCCTAAAGTATTTTCTTTTGGTTCATATTGACTATATTCTTTAGTTATTTCAGTATTATATGGTGTTGGTAGATGATCGTAGTAAAGTTGTTGATATGTTATTCCTTCATCTTGAGAAAATCTTGCTTCATAAAAGAATTTACTAAAACTTATAGTATATTCTGGTAATTTACTAATTTTACAACATTTCATATTGTTCAAATTCATTATTATTTCTGTTTTTCTTTCTGCTATTACTTTTTCTTGTGATACAAACCATCTTTCTCCTAAAAATTCTCTTTTTAATACTATGTCAAATATTGACAACATGGATTTCCAATCTGTAGCATAATTAGGTGCTTGTGCTCTAAATTGAACAGTTATAGTTTCAAACCAAAATCCTACTTTTCCTATTAAGGTTTTTGATATTAAATCATACACATAATCTAGATTTGAGGTACAGTTTGAGTTCATTAGTGCTATAAACATTCCTAAGTTCCAATCGTGTATTCTTCTATTAATTTCTTGTTCATCGTATACATTATCTAAATCTAGAAAGTATCCATTTCAATTTACTCCTTGACTCATAGATCCTACAAAGTCTTTGAATTCAGATTGTTGTCCTATTGGTATGTGGTCTGGTAGACTTGTTTTTCTTCTACTAATTATTTTTAAGTTTGGATCTACTATTTCTCTTCAGGATAGTCATTAGCATCTTCATTTATTATGTCTTCTGTTTCAGCTTCTGTTTCTATATCATTATTTCTTTCAAATTCTTCTTCTATATCGCTTGTTGGTTCTTCTTCTATTATTGCATTTACTGATTTCATTTTTCTTAATACTTCTATAATTTGATCATTTTCTTTAACTATTTCAAAATCTTCTTCTTCTTCATCTACTAAACCTTCTATATATCCTACTATTTTTAAATCTTTTTTATTATTTTCTATTTCTTTTCTACTATCATCACTACAAGTGTCTATGCTACTTGTATCACTTATCTTATTTTTTCCTTTCAATTTTTTCATAGAATTTTGTAACGCTTCTATTTCTATTTTTAAATTATCCATCTCTTGTTTCATTTGTTTTAATTCTAGTTTAGTCTCTTTTAATTCTTTTTTGGTATCATAATAACTATGTTTGTATTTTTTATATTTCTCTATCCATTCTTTATTAGAATTATTTATTAACTTAATATTTTCCCTTTTTAATTCTTCTATCTGTTGTGATTGTTTTTCTATTTTTAATGCCAAAAATTCTGTATATTCTGGTTTTTCTATAAATACTTCGTTTTTTTCTTTTTGATTTTTTGTTTTTTCTTCTCTTTTAAATTCTTGTTTTATTGGTTCATACTTATATCTTTCTTTATCTAATATTTCTTTTCCATATTTTTTAAGAAATGTTTCTATACTATTTTCTTCTGTCATTTTAAAATTTTCCTTTCTTACTGAGTAAGGCCAATTTTTCTATTGTTTGTTTTACGGGTTCTGTTAATTGTGGTTTCATCTTACTAATATCTATCATAATTGGTTCTTTACTTCTTCTCCAAGCATCTATAGGTACTATTTCTGGTTTTTCTTCTAATGGTATAAGGTCTATAGTTTCTTTATTTACTCCTGAACTTTCTATCCTTTCTTCTATTTTTTGTTTATCTCCATTGTCTAATACATCTAGTTTTTCTAATATCATTTTAAAGGTTGGTACTTCTGATGTATTCCATAATTTAGTTAATTCTTCTTTTACAATTTCTTGTATGTTTAATTCTTGTATTCTTATTTGATGTTCTTTAATTTCAGTTAATATTTTTACTATGTTTTGTAGTTGCTCTTTTATTACTATTTCATTCCATATTTGATCTATTTTTTCAGTTAAATCCATTCTATTTATATACTCTTTTTCTCCATCCTCCTTCAAGTATTATCCATTCTTTTCTTGGTTCATTCCTTTTTTCTTTTAATACTTTAATTTCATTTTCTATTTCTTCTTGTCTCGATGTATATTCTATATATTTTAATTGTGAAACTATTAGATTTTCTTCTATCATCTCTTTTATTTGTTTTAATTCTTTTTCCCTCTTTTCTATTTCTTTTGATATATTCATAATCTATCTATAAATCTAATTTTTCCTTGATCATTTATTTCTACTCCTTCATTTGTTATTTTATATCTTATCATACTCAAAAAATCATTTCCTAATAGTAATTCATAAGGACTATCATATTCTAGTACACCTATATTAATATTATATTCTAAATCTTTTATTTTAAATTTTAAAATTATTAATTTGTTTACTATTATTTCCCTTTCATCATTTGGTAAATTATATATTTGAGGTTCAATCGTAATACATTCCTTTTCATTAATTTTATTTACATGTATAAAACTATTACTTGTATTTGTAGTAATTGTTGCCATTCCTTCCGTTACCATCATTCCATTAAATATTATTACTTTTATTTTTAATTTATCAGGTCTATTATATTGATTATTTACTAAATCTAGTTTCTTGGGTACAAATTTTGTTTTTCCTGATTCTATAGGTCTTGGTATGATTTGTTTTTGAAAGCTTATTTTACTTCCTTGTACTATTGGTATTAATTTTTCTACCGGTTTTATTCTTCTATTTTCAAAATCCATATATATATCTTCAGGTATTGTAATTTTAGAGTGTTCTTTGTATGCTATAGGTTCTAAAATTTGTTGATATAATTTAGGTACTATTATTTCCATCTCATGTTGTTTTCTTACTTGGTGATTCCCTGTTAAAGCATAAATCATTTTTGTTTCTATACTCATTACTTTGCATCCTTGAGGCATTTTAATTCCTTGTAATTTGTAGTACAGAGTTAAAGCTAATTCTTTATGTTCATCTTCTAATGATATACTAAAATCTGGTTGGACTGTGAATTTTAATTTTTGATAAATTAAATTTCCTCTTACTACTGTTATTAAAGCATCTAATATATTTCCTTGTATTCTATCATCTGATATATATATTTCTATGGGTGTGTCAACATTTTTCTGAAAGTATCCTTTTATGGTAAATTCTATGGCTCCAAAATAAACATTTCTATATCTCTTTGCTTCTGCTTTTGATAATTTTCCTAATTCTCTTTTTAATATTTCATCTGTTATTAAATTTATTTTTGCTTTTCCACTAATAGTTGTAATATCTATTGCATTTTCATGTTTTTGTACTATATATCTTATGTCTTTATTTCTATCATACCATTTTGTTTTAAATATTTTATTAATGGTAAATTGTGTTTTCTCATTTTTCATTTTTTCATAGATTTCAGGTTTAAAGGTTAAAGTTTGTGTTACTCCACCTTCATAAGTATCCATTTGATAATGTGTTTCTGGGTCTTCCATTATTTTTTCTTTTCCTTTATCCATAAGTTAATTTATCAATTTGAAAATAACATTCTTCTATAATCTTTTTATATTGTCTTATTTCTCTTTCCTTCTGATTTTCTATTCTTAGCTTTTCTTCTAGTAGTGTTCTTATTTGTGTATCCTTTTGTCTAATTTCTTCTTCTTTTATTGTTAGTCTATTAGTTAAACTATTTATTTCTTCTGAAGCTTTTATGATTTGAGTATCTTTTTGTAATATTTCTTCTTCTCGTTGTTTTATTATTTCTAAACTTATTCTACAACTTATAATATGTTGATTAATATCTTATTATATTCTAATGGTTTAGCCGCTATATATTCTATTGCTTCCATTTTTTAACAAATATAATACTTATTTTGTTCATATAATCTATTTATATATGCTTCTATAGTATTAATTCCATTAATTGTATCATTTAATTCTAATTTTATTAATAACCATTCTTGTATGTTTTCTTCTTTGGTATTATTTAATAATTCTTCATATATTCTTAATTTTGTATAATATTGTTTCAACATTATTCGTTGTTTTCTTAATTCTTCGCTGTAAATATGCATAATATCACTTATCTCTTTATGGCTCTGATACCAATATCACTTATCTCTGTATATTCTGGTTTTTCTATAAATACTTCGTTTTTTTCTTTTTGATTTTTTGTTTTTTCTTCTCTTTTAAATTCTTGTTTTATTGGTTCATACTTATATCTTTCTTTATCTAATATTTCTTTTCCATATTTTTTAAGAAATGTTTCTATACTATTTTCTTCTGTCATTTTAAAATTTTCCTTTCTTACTGAGTAAGGCCAATTTTTCTATTGTTTGTTTTACGGGTTCTGTTAATTGTGGTTTCATCTTACTAATATCTATCATAATTGGTTCTTTACTTCTTCTCCAAGCATCTATAGGTACTATTTCTGGTTTTTCTTCTAATGGTATAAGGTCTATAGTTTCTTTATTTACTCCTGAACTTTCTATCCTTTCTTCTATTTTTTGTTTATCTCCATTGTCTAATACATCTAGTTTTTCTAATATCATTTTAAAGGTTGGTACTTCTGATGTATTCCATAATTATAGCCCCTCATACCAATAGGACAACAATCTGAATTCAAAGACTTTGTAGGATCTATGAGGGACTAAATTGAGCAAAAACACAAAAGTATGGGACGAAATTGAGCGAAACATAAAAGTCTGGGACGATATTAGGTCACCAAAGTCGTTTAGGACGAAATTGAGAAAAACCACTATAGTCGAGGACGATTTTGGGTATTAACTCATTGAATAAAATGATAAATATAAAAAGACATAAAAGCACGTGGGAGCTAATATCGTCCCAGACTTTTATGTTTCGCTCAATTTCGTCCCATACTTTTGTGTTTTTGCTCAATTTAGTCCCTCATACCAATAGGACAACAATCTGAATTCAAAGACTTTGTAGGTTACATATTAGCTTGAGTAAAATCGCTGCTTATTTAATATTTATACAAATCTCAGTATCTCACAAACAGACTTTTGTTGATGCAATTTGATAGAATTGAAGAATTTTTCTTGATCACACAAAATTACAAATTCTCAAATTATTCAATTCTTTTAACATGTAATTAAAATTATGAAATATTTTACAATTTTTGTTTATTATTTTATTTACATGACTTAATAATTCTGATTTCAGAATAATATATTCAAGAATTTGTTTCTTGATTAATTATTTGTTCATAGAGTTTCTAAATAAATTCTTATTTTTTTCTTTAGGGTTTTACAATTATGTCATCTAGAAACTATTCATCTGAGTTTGAGAAACGTAAAAATAAAAGAAAATTTAAGCAACTAACTCAATCTCAAAAGGGAGCTCTTGAAAAATTCATTACAAAAGAAACCCAAATAGATGTGCAAAAAGATGATGCCAAGGAAAAATTGTTAGATGCTAATCTTCATATATAGAAGATCAAGATGATTGTGTGATTGGAAAAAAAAATTAAATGGTAGTGTGCACAACGATTATAGGTATCATTGTGACAATGAAAATAATAAGAATGTTGATAGTTGTTTAGATGATGTTGGTCACAATGATAAACCAAATGATTCGCTTTTATTTGACATATATGATCCAAGAAATTGGGATGCCCTTGATTCTAAATTAATAGATATTCATGAAAAAGATGGTCTTAAAAGAGATTTATCAATAAATAATGGTCCTAAAGATAAATTCTTTAAAAGATTTTCGTCAGCATTTTACACAAGACATTTGCCAAAGGGAGAGAAGTGTGATCGAGATTGGCTTGTATATTCAAAAGAACTTGACAAAGTGTTTTGTTTTTGTTGCAAGATTTTTTAAAAAGGTATAGGAAAATGTGTTTTGGTAAATGAAGATTTTAGGGACTGGACACATCTTGGTGTTAGACTTAAAGAGAATGAAACGAGTGCAGATCATATGTCTAACTAACATGACAATATTTATATTTTGAATTTTGACACAACTTTTTGAACAACTATTATTTATATATACAAATAATTTTAAACAGGGGTCCTATTTAAGATATTGCACAAGACCCCATTTTTTATTGGAACGACCCTACTCAGTACAAACAAGAGAACACTTGATCATTATCTTCAAGCATGTAAAACACACCATCCTAAAAGTTTCTGATTTCCCTTACTAAACATAATGATAATAAAACCATAACTTTTGAAATACAAGAAGATATCAAATTTCTCAGTTATTTTTATGACAAATTCATCAAAGGAGTAACTTGAGATTTTTATTAAGAAAAAAATCTTTCGCAAGCTCTGCAGTAACTTATTCAAGAATCGTATATCTTGACAGTATATGAAAATTATATATATATATATATATATATATATATATATATATATATATATATATATATATATATATATATATATATATATATACACACACACATCACATGTGGTCATGTTGTTAGGTGTGGTCATATGGTTAATTACATGCCATTAGATTAGATAGATCCAATGAATCACATTAATCAAGATTCTTCAAGTATTTCTGCACACATTCTCCTACCCACCGAACTGCAAGGGTAAACTCGTCATAAGGCACCGGAATAGGGAAACTCACATTGTTGTGTGTTTTGTTTGTGTAATTGGTGTATTATTAGCCTTGCTCTGGTGTACTTGTAGATTCCCATTGGTGCCAAGTTCAGGTGCAACAACGCCTTCCCGTGTGGTCACTGCGGTCGCACCAATTGTTATACAAATATACACAATCCATGTTATCAAATGCACAACAAAAAACATACACAAATTAGGTACGCTTCACCAAAAACGCGTCATTAGATATGAATAAATACAACATACAATGTTCGAGAATACACTATTGGTGTGTTTCACTGTGGTGTATTTTATTACACAATTGGTGCTTGTTGTTAACCTGTTGGTGTATTCTGGACCCCGGCCGCTATAAATGACCACTGTAATTACCATAACACCCCCACGCGCGAAAATCCTCAAAATTAGCCACTGCCGTTAGATTAAACTGATTCAACGACACAGATACGACCACACCGCCACACCTAATGACATGACCACATATGAGCGCTCTTCTATATATATATATATATATATATATATATATATATATATATATATATATATATATATATATATATATCACATCCGTCTTCTAAAAAACCAGAGTAATGAATGAGGAACCTAAGACTCAGTTATGAAATTCTAAAAAATTTTGTAACTTCTAAAAACGATTATTGACTAGACTACTGCATATGAAAAAAATTTTACATGCTACAAATCTCAAGTTATTCCGTTGGTAAATTTCTCATAAAAGCAACCTGACAAATTTGACATCATTTTGTATCTCAAAAGTTCTAGTTTGATTACATTTGTTGCTTAGTAAAGAAAATTGAAAATTGATAGGATAATGTTCAGATGTCTGAAGACAATGATCAAGTGTTTCTTTATTTGTGCTAAGTCTTAAGTTTGTGATACGAGAGCCAGGTTCCTAACAAGTCATACTAAAGTTATTGGGCACGAAATGCTTTTAGAATTGAATAATCTTGAAATAAGAGGCTAAGAAGTGAAAAATAATGTTGTGAAAGTCGTTTTGATAAAGAATAAGAATAAAGTGTGAATTTTCTACTTTACCCCTCAAATTTTAAATATTTTTTTAATTTTTTCATCAATTTTAACGGTCAGGGACCAAATGCGCCACTTCGTTCATAACTGAATGACTAAAAATGAATACGATCATAACTTAGTGACTGAGTCAGAACTTGAGTATAACTCAAGGACTAAAGATGCAATTATGCAATTTTCTCTTTACAATAGTCAGAAGATTAAAACGGACATTTTCCCAAATAACGGCTATGATAAGTTGAAAATTAAAACCTAGAGTTGAGTGGTTGACTTATATTGTTAGGATTTAAGAGTTAATTTTTGCACATTGAATTTTGACAAAAACTTGTGTTAAATCGTTTCACGAATCTTTGTCCGTGAGACGGATCAGGTTAATATGTAGTGTAATGTAATACTTATATTAACAAATGTAATACTAAATCAGAAATAAAATGTTTATTACTTAAATGAGAAAATTTAATACTTTTGATAAAAAATGTAATATTTTTACATCAAAATATAAAAGTATTATATTTGTCATCAAAATATTGTGTTTTCCCTTATAAATAACAAACATTTTATTTTTGATTTAATATTAAATTTGCTAGTATAAATATTATATTTGTATATTGATTCGACTCGACCAATACATCTCACGGATAAAGATCCATGATACGGTCTCACACAAGTGTCACCTCTTGAATTTTTTATAAAACAACCTGGCAATAGGTAATAGGTTTAGAGTCGAAAAGTTGACGTTAAAATACACATAATGTACGTATAGTTGAAGAAAATTTTAGAATAAAATATATATTTTTGTGAGCGTGCTCTTGGGCGTACGAGCGTGTTGTTCAAGTAGTTAAGATTGTTGGGAGATGACTATCGAGGGTAAAACGTCGTCAAAGATTGTTGCTATTTAGGTACGATAGATGTATATATATATATATATATATATATATATATATATATATATATATTTATATAGGGAAGGGATCAGGTGCATTTGTGGCTTCCCGTGCAGTTATGCGGTGGATTAATGTGCGTGAGGTTTATACTTAATGTGCGTGAGTGTTGTGCTTAATGTGCCTGAAATTTGTACTTAATGTGCGTAATGTTAATATATATGCGTGAGTTTTGTACTTAATGTGCTTGAGTATTGTGCTTAATATGCGTGAGATTTGTGCTTAATGTGCGTGAGTAGTTCAGAATTACGAGCTCAGAAGGAAGCAGAACAGAAAACTCACGCAGATTAACGCCCAAGCTTCTTGTTACTTCTTCCTTCAATTTGGCCTGGATTCTGGATTATCAGATACCTTCAGTGTAGTTGAATGTTTATATAGATGATGCACGCACAGCAAAATTTGCACACCAGTGTGGATTTCTGTTGTATTATTCTCATAATTCTTAACCACCATAGCCCGCCTCCGCATCATCATCATCATCAGGGAGGGGGCAATGGCTACTGGGGATGGGGAAGAAGCTGACATCCATATTTTCTACTGCATTTTACACATTCACGCACATTAAGTACAAATCTCAGGCACATTAAGTACAACACTCACGCACATTGAGTACAAATCTCATGCATATTAATCAACCGCACAACCGCACGGAAACCTTTCACTATATATATATATATATATATATATATATATATATATATATATATATATATATATATATATATATATATATAAAACTCTGAATTGAATTGAATTTGAATTAAACGAATTAATTAATTAGGAGTAATTGACCCTGTTTGATAAATGGTTGTTAGCTGATAGCTATTAGCTGTTAGCTGATTGTGTTAATTAGAGAGTATAACTAGTTGATAACATTAGCTGATTGTAGAAATGTGTTTGGTAAATTAGCTGTTAGCTGATAGCTGTTTTGTATAATTTCTTTTCTCAAAATGCTAATTGAAAAGTTCCTTTGAGTAGCTTTTTGAATTTTAACATTTTGGAGCACAAACAACTAATTAACCAAATACTTATATTGATTTCTAAACCAAGTTAAATAACTACTAGTGGTCAAATAAGCTTAAATTGACCTATAGACCGACTATTTTACTAAACAGGGCCATTGTATTCCCAAAATTTTGAGGTTATCAGCGTACGTAGTGTATCCTGTTGCATGATACGAGGTGAGGTACGGTATGTCCACGTTTAGATTATGTTTTGTACTCGCACGGGCTTAAATTAGATTAGTGGTTTAATAAACAATATTTAATAGAAGAGATCAAGGTTCAAAAACTGACAACGACAATGTAGGATTATGTTCAAAGTGCGTAGATCCTTTGCGCCAACGGCATTTGACTCTATTTGTTGAACCACTAAATTACCGTGAGTTACCTCCTCTCATATTCTCTATTGGGCGTGGATACCTTTAGGTTTGGAGATTTATTATTTTGGGAGAAGATTAGTTTTGTAGTAAGAGGACACGTGTGGATAATTTAATGTAAGACGATGCATTTATAGCCAAATTAAATGTCAGGTGTGGTGGCCGGACAAATTAATTAAAGTCGGATTTGAAACAGAATTAACAACATTGATTGATTGGAAGATTGTTTAAAGTTTGAACGGTTTATGATTTATCTTTTTTAGTGACTCTTGAATATAAATTGTGAGATTTATGATTATTATTGAATAATAACTTGCGAAACCTAATGTATTTTAAAAAAAAAAAAAAGGATCATTTGTAAGCAATTGTGAAGAATGGTGGAAGACTGAAACGTGGTTATTTATTTCTTGTGATTCCTTCTTTCATCTAGCTTCATGGAGCGATAAAACCGACTAGTAATATCTTCCTTTAATTAGTAAAGAAAAAAAAAGTGTGGGACCCATGAATATTTTGTTGGGACTTGGGAAGTTTAGAGACAGAGAAGTTGTTTCCTCGAATAACGAGAGATCATCGCATGGCTGATGGCTCGTCCTAAAGACTGGCATGTGTCCGCACTGAATTGAAGCGAGTTGCCGTGGCAAGTACATGCGCATGCGCATGCCACGTGAGATGACCATGACGACAAATGGATATAGGCATATGCTGATGTGGGACACGTGAGCATGCAAGTGTGTGTTCGTTAAGAAAAGATAAGCCAATTTCTATTCCCGACTGATCGCTTTTCTATGTTCTCATGGGCATGTTTGGTTTATTAAATAGGTCAGAAATGAAATAACTATTTTTGGAATAGATCTATTATATTATTTGATTTCGTCATTTTATTATGAAAATAATATTTCTAAGAATGAGTTATTCCCTTTGCAAGGGGAATATTTATTTTTGGGGGGCTTGATAATTGATATTAGTTATTTCACATGCTCTTGGGAATAACTTTTATATTACAAATATAAAAAATAACACACACACACACACACACACACACACACACACACACACACACACACACATACACACACACACACACACACACACACACACACACACACATATATATATATATATATATATATATATATATATATATATATATATATATATATAGAATTAGGTTCTGGTGCGGTTGGCAGTCGTAGATGCGGTTTTGGGATTAAATTTTAGTCATTGATCTTGCTTAAATCAAAGTCCAGATTACCAATTTTTTTTAAAAAAAAATACGCGGAGGCAATTTGATAATTTTTGCTTCTAAGTTAAATTTAAGGTGCGTAGGTGCGTGAGATTTGTGTTTAAGGTGCGTGGATTTTGTGCTTAATGTGCGTGAGTTTGTGCTTAAGATGCGTGAGTTTTGTGCATAATGTGAGTAGTTGGTAAAACTTAAAGTGCGTGGGTTTTGTGCTTAAAGTGAGTGAGATTTGTGCTTAAAGTGCATGGATTTGTGCTTAATGTGAGCCATTTTAAAATCTTAGGTGTGTGGGTCTTGTGCTTAATGTGCTTTGTTCTGTCCTTAAGGTGCTTTGTTTGTGAGTTTTAAGGTGCGTGATGATTTGTGTACTTAAGGTGTGCCATTTTAATGCCTAAGATGCATCCAACTGCACGGGAAATCATTCCCGCACCTGAACCCTATATATATATATATATATATATATATATATATATATATATATATATATAACTTTAATAAAAGTGAATATTGTTAGATCCTTAATCGGAACAAAAAAATGTCGGTACGCCATATGCTCAACAAAATTGTACTTTGTGCTTTTCTAATTGTACAATGCCAACTTAAATTCCTAGTATAACCTCATTCTTCTAAATTATACCAAACTCACTGTTAAACTTAACAATTTTGTCTAAAAAGTTTAGCGGTGGCAAATTTGAAGTTTCCGTAAAATTAAATGGCAATTACTGTCTAGGACTCAATTTCCGTAGCCCTTCTCCTCCACTTTACCGCGATGAAGACTGCTCGCGCTTGAGCCTCCTTTCATCGGAAGCAAGAAGAATCACACACCTCCGGTTTACCGCGATGAAGACTGCCCGCGCCTGAGCCTCCTTTCATCGGAAGCAAGAAGAATCACACACCTCTGGTTTACCGCGATGAAGACTTCCCACGCCTGAGCATCCTTTCACCTAGGTCTTCATCGTATTTTCACTAGAAATTGGTATTTCGAAAAATCCTTGCCCGAGCCACAGCTCATGATTCTAGAGCTACCAGGAAACAAGTAAAGGTACTCCGGCATATAATTGTCGTCTGTTGGTTTTCTTGCTTTTTCATTGTGTTTTTCAATCTTTCAATGTTTCAGGTGGGGTCTAAAGTCATTTTTGTTGTTCTTGGTGGTTCTGTTAGATAGCATATGACCTAGAAGAAAATATTGTACAATAAATTAGTCGATGAGGAAAATGAGTTTAGGGAAATAGCATATTGTTCATCAGAATTACAGGCAGAAGAGAAGCTGAGTTTCATGATTTGACATCTCTGTTTCATGTAAGCATCTCTTACTCTCTTTCAGAAGATAATGAGATTAGAGAAATAGCCTATTGTTGTAGCTAAAGAGAAGCTGGGTTTCATGATTTGGCATATCTGTTTCATGTAAGCATCTCTTACTCTCTTTCAGAAGATAATGAGATTAGGGAAATAACCTATTGTTGTAGATATTCATATGAATATAAGATATTCTGTCCCATAAATTATTATAGTATACTGTTTCAATTTGGTTGCTCACAGTATTTTATGGTTCTTTATTTGATAACTCAATGATTTTATGATACTTTGATTTAAGTATCTATTGTTAATTTAATGGTACTATTTGTAATTTGATTCGAGGTTAATATAATCTAGTACATTTTTTTTTACTACGACTTGCATTGAGCTCTTCTTTAATTTTTATTTAGTTATTCGTGTCTGAATTACTTCTTTTTCTTCCTATATATGATACTCCCCTCACAATGAATAGTTTGTATGTATATGGTGTTTGCGAGTTCTGACTGTCAATTTAGAATTGATATGGTTGATTTTGAGTATTGATATATTATGGTTTATGGGTCTGTAATGCATGATGAATTAATCAATTTATGTGGTCCATTGGTTTTTTTACATAGCCTTCAAATCACACGAGAGAGATACACCGAGGCAAAATTTGAACGAGCGACTGATTTTAAGGTATGGAATCATACTCCACTCACTTGCTACCTTTTGAGGTTAATGAATTTTCTATGTATGCCTTGATTATGGTGAGTGTAAATGTGTAAAAAATGCAAAGGTATATGTATTATTCACACCTATAATTTAATAAATGGTTTTTCCGTTTTGTGTTGCACACTCCTTTATTTATTTATTTGTGTTAATGTAGAAAGATCAGAATTCACAATTGTATTCTCATTCATGAGTTTGAATTTATTGTTTTTAAAATAGCTATGTTATGGAGTCTCGCGATTGTGAAATCCCTGAATCCAGTCGTGAGGAGAGGAATAGAAAACATAGGGAGCGGTATGCTTGTAATGAGAGTCTACGTGCAGAGAGGAACTTGAGACGCCGAAATGCTTACGCAACAATGGATCCTTCTAAGAAACGCAAAATGCTAGATGATATTAATGAAAAGCGTCGCGGCAAAAGTAATGCAACCAAGTCTACACTAACCGACGTCAATGCTGGTATGCTTTTTAATAGTCAAATTTGTCTTACTATGAATTCAATTCTTCAACTTATGGACACTGGGACTAACTTGTTTACATGCATTTGATTATACATCACTTGATTATGCAATTTAAAAAAATATTCTATGATATTTCAAAATGAATAAAGGTCCTTCACAAGTAGTACTCAGAAAAACTTCTCAAGAATGTTTACAACACAATAATACTCTTTCTTCTATTCTCGACTAGTCTTTTGTGCTAAAAGATTGTTCTCCTTGTACCTATTGTAAAGCAACGCGGTTCCAATATGAACCACCTGGATTTTGTTGCTCCTCTGGCCAAGTGGTTTTGGTGTCTAACGAAATGCCTCCGCTGTTGAAACAATACTTCTGTGAGAAAGATGAAGTATCACGTCATTTTCAAGCATGTGTTCGAACATACAACAACACATTTGCATTTACTTCATTAGGAATCCACAACTATGACAAAAATTTATCACGGAGGAATAAATAAATCTATACATTTAAGGTCCAAGGACAAATGTATCATTTTATCAATGATCTGGTGCCTGAAAATAAACCTCCTAAAATCTTGCAGCTCTATTTCTTTGATGCTGAGCATAAGGTTGAAAATAGAATCAAAGGGGCAGAACGAATGGATGCAAGTTTTATTATCAACACTTTCTACCGTAACACAGATCTTTCTTCGCGAGCTCGTCTGATACTCTAAGCAAGATCCGATTATTGACAGTGGTGTTGGTACAACAAAGGACGAAACATTTTTTTTCGAGGAAAAATGGGAGGCTCGACCCCAATATTCGCTCTCCCTTATAGAATTACGAGGTCCGACCTTACTTAGCTAAGCAAAGTAATCAATCTTTGTTCGAGGTTGTGTACGCCAGCCCCGACCTTGGAATTCTCTAGCGGTACATGGTACGAGACCCGCCTCGCTCATTACCTGACAGAAGAGTCTATTTTTGGCTTATTACATATATGTTGGTCTGACCAAATTTTTTTTTATTATAGTGAAGCATTTCTTGATTGTAAAATTAGTCTGAGTTCGGCAAGTTTTACCCTTCCAGGGAGGGAGAAGGGCCGAGGCCAAGGACTTCGGACCAACAGTCCCCGGATCAGTGTGAACTACGTTGGCTGAGCCATGGTTCACGGGCCAATTCTGATTTTTTAAAAACAAAACATATATATTACTCGCTTAATGCATACCCTAAGGGGAACGAGGTCCGACCTCGCGTAACAACCCCGACGGAAGAGCCTAATGGTCCGGTGTCAAATGACACGGGTCGAAGGGCTATCACCCTAGGGGGGCATGAGTTCTGACCTCGCGTACCAACCCCGATGGAAGAGCTTAACGGCCTGGTGTCAAATGACTCGGATCGAAGGGCTATCACCCTAAGGGGGCACGAGGTCCGACCTTGCGTACCAACCCCGGCGGAAGAGCCTAACGGCCCGGTGTCAAATGACTCTGGTCGAAGGGCTATCACCTTAAGGGGGCACGAGGTCCGACCTCGCGTACCAACCCCGACGGAAGAGCCTAACGGCCCGGTGTCAAACAACTCGGGTCGAAGGGCTACCACCCTAACTCCCTAAGGGAGCACGAGGTCCAACCTCATTTGCCACTCGACGGAAGAGTTTTTGGACCGAGAGTACCCTACGCCAAATAACTACATACTACGTAAAAAAAAACAAAAAAAAAAAACAAAACAAAAATCAAAAAGCAAAAAACAAAACAAAACAAAATCCTGCGAGCATAAATCTAATAAGTGACCCCGCGTCGTCTGGAAAGCTCGCTCTCGAACGGAGAGGATTCGGATCATAGAGCTAAAAGCCTAAAAGGTGTTGGAACAAGCAAAATATTTTTTCAAGTTGACTTTGAAGCATCCATCCAAGCATGGAGCCTCGAGCGATTTCAATTGGGCCAAACGTTTACTCTCTCTCGTTGTCGACTTCTCGCAACTTAGAGAGTGTGAGACTGATGATGGATATATTGAAAATATATGGCCCAATAATAAGGACCCGGGTCTAGGAGTCCATAACCCGAGCAACCCAAGAATATAATTTGAGCGACCCAAGAAGGGTCCAGGATTTCGGAGCTCGCCTTTGGCCCGGAATGGTGAGTCTTGATTTAGTCTCGTGGCCCACCATGTGGACCTTGATTTAGTGTTATGGCCCACCATATGTCGAGGTATATTGGTTGGGTTTATTTCTTGTATAAGTAGCTATTATCTAGCCTAGCCAAATCATATTCAATATCATTACAACACATTCATTGTAATATCTTTATATTAATTCATCCAATCCTACTACGATCCTACTCGTTTATACCTATTTTACACATTTACATATTTTAAGTAAGATTATTAATCCGTATAATTACATACTCCAGGTCAATTTTCTCCATCAACACACACACACACACACACACACACACACACACACACACACACACACACACACACACACACACACACACACACACACACACACACACACATATATATATATATATATATATATATATATATATATATATATATATATATATAGCAGATGGATCAGGTGAGAACCATATGCTCAAAAGAGAACTGAGAACCAATCGCAGCCGTTCACGTGTTCAGATCTAACGGATAAGAAAGATTGTGTGTTTTTATTTTAAATGCGGTGTCATTTTCGTAAATAATTAAACTTTGAAGTGCAACTAATTGTGTTAAAAGTGCAAGTAATAGTTTCATATAGTGCTCTTAAGTGCTAGTAAAATGTATTAAAAGTGCTATAAATAATGTAAACCGAGCATCAATATCAAGTGCACCAATGTGAAAGACTTTATCATTAGATGCACTAATGTTAAAAATGTAAATTACTTGCACTATTAAGTGAAAATGGTTGCACTCTTAAGTGATTTTTCTTGCACTTTTTACTTACACACTTGCACCAGTTACTTGTACTTTTTACACATGTTACTTACACAAAAGTTCGAGTTATTTATGAAAATACCACCATGTTTTTTTTTTTTTTAAATTACATCTAATCCATTAAATCTGGACACGTGAACAGTTGCGATTGGTTCTCAGTTCTTTCTTGGGCATTCGTTCTCATGATATCCATAGATTCATTTCCAATCAATGGTTGAGATTATTAGAGATTCTCAAAGTAATTAAAGATATATTGAAATCAAAAGGATTGAATAGTATTTGTAGTTAGTTGTCTAATTATGGATAAAATAGAATTGGAATGTTAAGCATTATATTAGGGATATTATGAATGGAAATTGATATTCTAGATTATTTTACCAACTTTGATGAAGATAAATATTGCGTGAAGAAGAGCTGGGTGAAAACGAACGGGTGGGAGTGCAGGAACAAACAAGGATCACAGTAAAGGAATGACTAGTAGCATTATAGGTATTTGCATTTACGAGTTCCGGCGTGTGCATATGTTGTTGAATGTGTGTGTGTGTGTTTTTTTTTTTTTTTTTTTTTTTGTGTTTCGGTGGTTGGACAAACTAAATGTTTTGGGATGTGTGTGCGTGTGGTAGTTTTTTTAGAGTGTGTAACGACTCCAACTAGAAAATACGTAGTTGTTGGTTGGTTGTGTGCTTGTGAAAAGGGCGTAGAGGTGGGAGCGTGGGTGCATTTTAGCGTGTGCAACAAGCCAAGAATATTAAACCGATCACTGTAAAAGTGAGCTTAGGTGGAGGGTGCGTATACGAACATGCGTATGTGCATATTGTGCAGCAGCACAGGTATTTGCATGGACGTGTAACAGCATGTGCATATGTTGACGACCGTGGGTTTTTTGTTATTTGTTTTCGGGGGTGGACGAACTAAAAGTTACGGAATGTGTGTGAGTGTGGAATGGATTTTTTAACACTGTGTGGAGGTTCCGTATACGAACATGAGTAGGTGCATAGCGTGTGCATATTTTTAGGATATTTCTTTTTTAATATATATTTTTTTAACTGTATGTTTTGTTGGACGGCCTAAATGTGTTGCAATGTGTGTGCGTGTGGTACAGATTTTTTGAAAGTGTGACAGCACATTAATTTTGATGTCAAACTTTAAATGATGTTAGTTTTAGTGGCGGGTGCGTATACGAAAACGAGTTCGTGCATAGCGTGTGCACATGCGGGTAATAGGGTTTAATTTTGTCGACATGAACTTGTTAAAAAACTTAAAATGTAGTTAAATTGTTTTTGTGAGGCAGGTGCTCTACCCATGGAAGATGATGTTGCTAGCGAACAGTGTCTTATGGATGTATCACCCAGTGGTTCCAAGATTTGGGTAACGGCATGCGACCCATCCATAATACCAGCGGGAGGGGGGGGGGGGGGGGGGCAGGTGTTTGCAACATTAGAAGAAGGTATTGACTTCTACAAAAAGTACACTTTTGTCGTTGGGTCTGATGTGCGCCGAAGTTCAATCAAGAAGAACAAGTACGGAGTTATCTTGAGAAAGAAAATGGTTTGTTCTCGTGAAGGTTTTAAGGGAACAGAACCGACAAAAACCTCAGGACCAAAAGCAGCCACACAGATCAAACATCGGCGCCCCTCCAATCGAGTTGGCTGCATAGCGAAGATTGTATTCAAAAGAAACAATGCAAGAAGGTATGAGGTGAAGACGTTTGAAGAGGGGCACACACACTGTTTGTGCGAGGAGAGCTACAAACCTTTCTTGAAAGTGAATAGGAAATTAGATATTGGTCATCAACAATTCATCACTAATTGCGCAAAAGTAAATATTTGGGCTAGTAAGAGTTTTGACCTGTACACAGAGATGGTGGGGGGAGTTGAAAAAATGGGCGCCATGCAATTAGATTTCAAGAACTACAGAAGGGAGGTTTTGGCATACATGCAAGGAGGAGATGCACAAATGGTAATATCCAATTACCTCGATAAGAAAGCTGACTACAGTGATATGTACTTCGAATACGAGGCAAACGAGAACGATCAATTGGCGCGTGTTTTCTGGGCAGATGGAATGGCAAGGAAGCAATACAGTGCATTCGGAGATGTTGTGTCATTCGATGCTACGTACAAAACAAACAGGTATGCTATTTAATAACCCAACGTTTCTGAATGCAAATGTAGTATATCTGTAACTGTGGCGTAAGGGTGGTGTGTGCGTAATAGTTGAATGCCGGTGTATGGTAGGAATGAATACTTCCTGTTGTGGGTACGTGTCCCGAAGTGTGTGCATTGCACTCTCATATAATTAAAAGCTCACATAAGGTGTCAAACTGTCAATATAGGTGAACTAAATAGGTGACGAATGCATAAAAGTGATATGCACATGTGCAAATGTGAAATCTGTTTCTACCAATGTTGATGCGCATCAGTGTGATGTCGTTCGCACGGGACTAGAGTAAACCCGGTACATGTATGCGTGTTACCTTGCAATCGCGTGTGCAAACCCAGCCCCACTCTAGTTATTATAAAATCTGAGTCATGAATTACGTATTCTGTATGGATAGTTTTGATAGTTGGTGTATACCGAGTGTGCGATTTTAAGCGTACGAACTAACTAATTCCCTCATGTCACAGGTATAGCCTAGTATTTGTCCATTCACCGGCATAGACAACCATAGGAAATGCATGACATTCAAAGCAGCAGTGATTGCCCGGGAGGATGTTGACTCGTACTGTTGGGTCCTAAGGAACATAAAAAACGCAATGGGTAGCACACCGCATATCACCGTAACCGATCAAAACCCAGCGATGAAGGTCGCGATTGGAAGAGAATTCCCAGAGTCTCGCCATCGTTACTGCATGTGGCATATAATGACAAAGGTCGGCGATAAAGTGAGTACTGAGTTGGCGAGGAATGAAGAGTTTCGACAAGAGCTAAATGTTGTTGTTTGGAACGATAGATCGACGTCTGAATATTTTGAGGCTGCATGGAAAGGAGTTATTGAAAGATATGGGCTACTTGAAAATGCATGGTTGAAACGTATGCACAACGAGCGTACATCCTGGGTACCTACGTGTTTTGAAGGTGTTTTTATGGGCGGGCTAGTGTGTACCACCTCCCGCTCTGAAGCAGAGAACAGAATTTTCAAAAGCAACACTAACAAACACTTATGTGTTTCCGAAATTTTCACCCGATTTGAGAGTACAATCAGAAAGCAACGACTGACACAGTCGGACCTAAGCGGTGCTAACAATGCACAGACCCTCCTTTCAAGACCCAACTGCGTATTGAGCGAGCGAAAGCATCAGTGTATACGTTAACCGTGTTTTATGAGGTCCAAGAGGAGATATGTGCCAGATGTTTTCAATGCCGAGTGCGATCAGTCACCCATGGTGAGACCGGGAATACATATGTGGTCGAGGATGCACACGAGAAGCAATACATGGTGTTTGTTGAAAATGGGACAAAGACGATGACCTGCACATGCCGAATGTACACAAGGATTGGTCTGTTGTGCAGCCATGCTTTTGCAGCACTGATATACGAAAGGATCGAGCACATACCTCCACAACATATCACTCCCAGGTGGACAAGAACTGCAATATCGAATTTGACACCCGAAGTGTGTAATGATAGACCGGAGCGAGACAAAACTATGACACTGGGCAATAAAGAAGAAAATACTGTAATTAACACGTTTTATATGTGTTTAGGCCTGGCTCAAGGGAATGTTTTGAAGTTGGAACAAATCGGTAATGTGCTCGAGGAGATTGAGGCAACATGGTGCGAGAGCGGAGAAGATCGAGTGGCTGAAGATAAAGGGAAACGAGTGATTATGGAGATGTATTGTGGCGTTCCGGCACCTGAGTTAGTCATTGTGCACCCACCCGTAATGTCAACTACCAAAGGCTCGGGCAAATGAATGAGGACAGCTAAGGAGATTGCAATGAGGGAGCAAAGTAAGAAAAAGCGAACATGCAAAACATGTGGCCTGGCAACCGGCTACAATAGTCGAAGCTGCTCGCAAAAGTAGATATAGTATTAGAATCCTAAGTGCTGGTGTGTGCGTAACTGTTTTGTTAGAGTTATCAAATATTGGCGTGACTAAATAATGATTTGTGATACATTTTCATTCAATAAATGGAGAGACCTAATGTATGCATTCCCGATAACAATTATTTGTTATCTCTCCTCCCAAAAGGATGAACATATAATGTATGCATTCCCCCTTGAATATTTGAAATCTGTGAATCCCATAAAACTGTTTAATCGACATAACTGTTTAATGGTGAAGTGCGTCTGTGCGTTGTGGAATAAATGGATGTGGTTTCATTGTTAGTGGGCTCCGATACAAATACCGTGGCCTGTGCGTGAATGACGGTGGAGCGTGTGCGTATAGGTGCATGTGTAGACCTGTATGCACTCCCCCATGAATATTGTTTAACTGTGTATTACATAGAACTGTAATCGCCATATGTGTTAAACGGTGGAATGCGCGTGTGCAATGATGAATAAATGGATATGGGTTCATTGTTTGTGTAATCCGATACAAAAACCACAGGCCTGTGCGTGAACAACGTTCAAGCATGTGCGTAAAGGTTGTGAGATTTTAAATGCATAAAAAAAGATGCCAGAAAATGTAAGTGGAATATGGGACACATCTGTAATACACAAATGTTCATGTGAAAACCATAAATAAAACTAACACCCGGGAAAGGAAAACTGACGCCATTAAACACATTATTTAAAGTGAGGAAAGAATGTTAAAATCTGTGTACAAAAGTATGGCCTTCAACGAGTCGCAGCACTTGCCCTCATAACACAGTTGACATTCGCGAGCCGATGTGTGTTGCTTTAGAACAACAAAATATCATACAAGAAGCGAACGCGTAAAGCAAGCAAGAAACGTGCATCACCCCTACGGAGGCCACATTCCTATGAAGCGTAGGACTGGCCAACATAACACTCCATGTGACGCATCGCAAACACGCCACAATCAATTTTGTTCTTTGCATCACGACATGGTAATCGAACCCTACGAGGAATCAATTTTGTGATGTTAAAAAACAATGCGGCTACCCCCACATCCTCCAAGAAAATTGACAGCAGATCATGCTACTTCTTTTGTAAAAGAAGTACTTTTCCTGTGAAGGTTTCTTAGAGCCAAAAATGACTCGCTTTGCTCTTTTTTTCATAGAGTCTCAATGACTCACTTTCTTTCTCTTGAGTTTCTTGACTCGCTTTCTCTTTACTCGTGGGCGAGGCAGGACTTCAGCATAATGTGAATGTACCTATTGGGCTCTGCCAGCCAATCTCTCATCCCGCCCACAGAACCAATCTCGTGGTTCCAAACTCAAACTCTGTGAAATCAGGTATGGAACTATCAGTGTGCACACCCCCTAACCAGGATTCCAAGCCTGGCGAGCAGTTTCCAACCTCGTAACGTGGGAATACGCCGCGTTACATGATATCGGATCGTAATGTCCGTTTCTTTCTCTTTTACTCCGAAAGGACATAGTCCAAACGGGTCCTCCAAAACTAGATTTTCCTCACAATAGTAATATATATAGATATCACTTATGCAGTCCGAATATGCACAACTTTACTTATGCAAATATACACATAACTTCTCAACCCATTCTCAATATGACAAGCTAATGACTTTCCAACATGGATATGAGTTTTTGGAAAATAATACGTAGGCTCACGTTGGCCACTTATGCACTTTTAAAACATGATATGCTCAACAATGCCATTTACTGTAGAACATGCTTCCTTTTCTTATTCACTGTGAAACTCAATAAATACTTAAATCATGCTTGTTAACCATAACTTGATAATTCTTCTCATCAAACACTTAGCATGCAATTCAATATGTACTTAGAACTCAAAATACACATCTTATAATCATTTACTGCAATTGAACATGCAATATAGACATGCACTGTAACATTTAGAAGCTAGGAAAGATTCTCAATAAATCATATAGGACAGTTTAAACATGTTTTTCTATCAAAACTTATCACATAGTGTTCTTACACCTCGTCCGAAACGACACGTAGCTGAGCCACAAGGGCCCGCCCATTGCACAGAGAACTCTCCATGGAGCTTGGGGCGGGGCTTAGCTAGGCCCGCCTATAACGCGGATTTAGGCAACGGCCCTCTCCTAGGGTCGGTCCCCTACGACGCTAGCCAACGGTCTCCTCTGTGAGCTGTTGGCTAGGCCCGTGAGCCTTACCGGTGCACACTGTCTGTGCACCAGTGGACCTCTTTTCTTCTGCAAAGTAAACTTCAGGCATTTCTATCACATCTAAACCATCAACAACACATCATAACTCAACAATAGATCAGATAATAAATCAAACACTTCAATAAACTAGCATTTCTACTCAAAGATAGACTTCACAGAGTCTTAAAAGCTCTGGGAATCCATGAGTTATACCTTTGAAGCTTTCTCTTCTTCTTGATTGGATTCCCTCTCCTCCTCACTTCAGCTACCACCTCCTTCACCTCCTAAACAACTCAAACAAACCAACAACAACTTACTACTAAATTCTCAGAGAAAGAAGGATGGAAGCTAGAAGAAATGGAAGGCTAAGGTGGATGAAGGCTTACTATGAATTCTCCTTTGGTTTAGCAGAGCTATGTTTGACAGCCAAAGTTGGGAATCAGGAGACAACAGAGATTACTATTCTTTTTATATGGGTTCAAAACCCTAGGAGGATTCCCTATGATTGGTGGGGGGCAAAAGAGTAAAATGTCTTGCTAAAAGATGAATCAGGATAAAGCTTTTGGATGGCTAGTGGACCACCATGCTTCATGGACCAAGGCTAGAATTGCTATTTTAATATAGTTTGGGGTTGAAAAAGGAGTTTTGCCAAAATGATTTCTAGATAAACAGTTGATTTAGGCTTCTCAGATTTATCCGGTTTCACTCAGATAGGTTTCTCAGTTCAAAACTTGACACGTAATGTACCCGAAAATTTAGGATGTTGGATTTAAGTCAAAGTCTTGGTGTTAAATTTAACATAAAGTGGCTCAAAATAATTTATTCAACACTGATTTTATCGCAAAAAATTTTATGGAGTGAAAATTGGCTATTTTGGATTTTCTAAAAACCGGATTTATAAAATAAATTTTGGGTTGTCACACAAACCACCCCCCCCCCCCCCCCCCCGGCATTGCTAGAATTTAACAAAAACCCGAGCAACCCTAACCGAACTACTTTATCGCTTCAACACCGCAAGACCACCCCCTAGTCGTGAACCACAAACACTTCCGCCACAAAACCCTCGCGCAAAAACCCCAGCAACCGGCGAAACCAAACCCCACCCAACGCACATGCAAAGACCCAGTCGTCCTAGTCTAGGGATGGGTCTTCTGAACCCACTGAAATTCCATACCCACCGCCGCCGCCCCCCCCCCCCCCCCCCCCTTCAATAACAACCGCCACACAACCCAAATGCCCAAACCCCACATACCGGCGGAAACCCCCCCCCCCCCCCCCCCCCCCCCCAAAAAAAAAAAAAAAAAACCACATACAAAAGCCAAATCAGGAACAGACAATCCCATAAAAAAGGGACGAACCTGCTATCCCAACCGGAAACACAAAAGATAACTGCAAAAACAAACAAAACCATACAAGCAAAGCAAAAGAGGACAAAGAAATTAGAAAACCTGGAAGGGGATCGGGCGAACACTCCCTGAGTCGCTTGGATCGCCTCGAGCTCGAACCCGCCATGAAGAACAACGATTCAACACAAAGCAAATTCGGCCCCGGAACCTGCAAGCCCTAATTTAAGCGCAGGAAGATGAAGATACAAGAGGAAGATGAGAGGGCGGTCTAAGCGAGAAGACATGCAAAGACCATATGAAGAGGAGGCAATGCGAGAGAAAAAGAATATGTCCTAATTTAGCTTTGAACACACCCCAAAAACCGCGCAGCATAATGACTTTACATAATGAACATAGTTCCAAAAGACAGAACTACCCCCTAACTTAATACAAATACATCGCATGTGGTTTCAAAGAGCACCAAATCTGATCCGTTAAAAAATATAAATAAACGAACAGGATCAAGGCTCACGAACTCATCCAACTAGGGGGGTTGCACCGGATAAAAAAAAAAAAAAAAAAAAAATATATATATATATATATATATATATATATATATATGTATATATATATATATATATATATATGTGTGTGTGTGTGTGTGTGTGTGTGTGTGTGTGTGTGTGTGTGTTTAGGATCAGGTGCACATGCCACTTCCTGTGAAAAATGCGGTATGTGCACTTGAAGGCTCAAAACTATGCACTTGAAGGTAAAAAATGTGCACTTGAAGACAAAACAATTGCATAGGAGAGCATTCAGGTGCGAACTTCCCACCCAGGAGAGAAGTGAGAACGCTTGCCATCCGTCCACGTGTCCAGATCTAAAGGATCAGAAACATTGATTTAAAAAAAAAATACGGTGGCATTTTCGTAAATAATTGAACATTTAAGTGCAAGTAAAATGTATTACAAGTGCAAGTTGCAGTTTAATATAGTGCACCTCAGTGAATGTAAAATATATTACAAGTGCAAGTAAAATGTATTACAGGTGCAAGTAAAATTTACATTCAGCATCAAAACTAAGTGCACGTAACGTTATAACTAGGTGCACCTATAGTTATAAATAGTTGCACCTAGGTGCATGAATCTTAACAAGGTAAAATTTCATGCACTTGTAAGTAATTTTACCTACACTTTTTACTTGCAAAGGTGCACCAACTAGTTGCACTTGTAACACATTTACATGAACCAAAGTTTGAGTTGTTTACGAAAATGTCACCGCGTCATTTTTTGAAAATTACATCTGATTCGTTGATCTGGACACGTAAACGGCGCTGAGTGGTTCTTGGGCGGCCGTTCGCACCTGAGC